CCGCGCACTGCTACTGCGGCCACCAGTTCGGCCAGTTCGCGGGGCAGCTGGGCGACGGCGCCGCCATGTACCTGGGCGAGGTGTGCACGGCGGCCGGCGAGCGCTGGGAGCTGCAGCTCAAGGGCTCCGGCCCCACGCCCTTCTCCAGGTGGGCGCCCCCTCCAGGTGTACGCGGGGTGGGGGGGACTCCGACCCACGGGGCCCCCCTCCTTGGGGAGAGATGTCACTCCAGAAAGTTCGAGCTGGGGTGGAGGGCCTGTGGGTAAAGGTGTCCCGGAGGAGGGAACAGCTCGTGGGGGGCCCTGGAGCCAGGAAGGAGGTGCTGGGGCGCGGCCTCCTGCCCTGCAGCTTGCCCAGTGCCCCTGACCCCGCAGCACTGGCAGCTGCCCATGCTCTGTCCTCACCAGCCGTCCAAGGACTTTGTGCGCGGGGCACCCTGTTTACCGCGTGCCCGGGGGCATCTGGATGACGACAGATAAACCCACAACACAGGCTTCCTCTAAAGGCTGGCGGTGCCGTCCGCTTCCCTCCGCCGCGCTGAGCTCCTGCCTGTGTGCTCACAAGTGCCTGCTGTGCCCCTGCCATAGGGACAAGGCGTCTCATGTCGGCCCTCCCAGGGCACAGTCTCCCAGGCACAGGCGAAAGCACAGCGGGCCGGCCCTGTTCCGACCCGCGGCGAGGGGGGCAGTCAGGTCCCCGCAGCCCGACGGCAGGGGGCTCTGCCCATCGCTGTCTTGCCCCTTCGTGTACGCAGGGCTGAGTCTGTAGACAGTTCATGTATTTAGCGCACGTTCATGAAATACTTACTGAGTGGCTAAGAAAATTATACTTAAGTTGGCATTTTATGTTCAAAGAAAAACTAGGGCGTGTGTTTCTTCTGGCCGCTCTGCTCTCCCTCCGAACATGTCACTCACCCCACCCCCACCAGCTTTATCTCAGATCCTCAAAATAGCTGGTTCTTCCTCACTCAGCCTCCAAACCGACTGTCTCTGAAGTTTCTTGTGTTCGCTGGCACCCTCCTGCCTTGGCCACACTGCTCAGAGCTGTCTGCACCAGTGGCTGAAAGAATTGTTTTTGCCTTTAAAGGATATGTAAATGCTTCTCACCCTAGGGCCTGCTCCTCTGTGTGCATCTTTAAACTTTGTACTTTTTTTTTTTTTTTAAATATGTTTTTATTGATTTCAGGGAGAGGGAGAGAGAGATAGAAACATCAGTGATGAGTCATTGATCACTGCCTCCTGCACACCCCCTACTGGGGATCAACCGCACAACCCGGGCATGTGCCCTGGCTGGGAATCGAACCATGACCTGGTTCATAGGTCGACACAACCACTGAGCAACACCGGCCGGGCTGTGTGTACTTTTTAATAATTTAATTTACCAGGTATAAAGACAAACCCTTGTGTGAGAGTAATCAGCTGTTGGAAGTCATTTTTTTATACTTGAACACTTGAGTGTTAAGTCAGTGTTTGCAGACCTGAGGTCCTGCTGGAATACTTTTTCCTTTAAAAGAAAGGGGTCGTTTGACCCTTACTTAGGTTTGCACCCACCACCCCGACATGTCCTAGGGTCCCCAGCCTCAATAACACTTGAGGCTAAAGTCCAGAGTGGCTGTGGATGGCTTAAGGCCAGCTGCTTTGGGAGTCCTCGGGTGTGGGTTTTGGGAGGTGGCCAGGTAGCGTATTGCTTCTGCCTCCTGCTTGCTGTGGGGGTCAGGATTTCTAGACCAGCCTCTCCTGGCAGGTGCAGGGTTTGTCCTCAGCTGGGTCCATCCCAGCAGCTAAGCTGAGCACAGACATGGGCATGCAGGATAAGAGACTTTTCATGTGTCCTGTCAGCTGTGTGGGGCAGGGTGGGTGCCCTCTGAGGCTCTTCACCCTGCTGTGTGACGATCACTCAGTTCTGGTGTCTGCCTTGAGAACTTCTACCTGGGCAAGAAGACAGGCTTGTTTTCAGATTATTTGTACCAGATTTGAGATGAGCATGGGGCTGTGCCGGCTCCTTTGGGATAACGTGAGATCTAGCTGGGCTGAGAGGTAATTCCCAGGTCAGGGAGGGGGTGCAGTGACATTTGAGGATGGATTACCCTGGCACAGTTCCTTGCACAGACCAGAAGGTGAATGGAGTACAGCTGTGGACAGAGGGTCATGCAGGCCAGGGACAGGCACAGCCACCCTACAGAGAGCCCTAGGGTGACTGCCAGGCCTGGTTTCCGGAGGTGTCACTCACACCTGGGATGAGCCACACTCAGGCTCCCAGGGGAATACAAGGCAGGAGGTATAGGTGTATCCCAGTACCATGGAAGCCTCCAGGGCCCTTAGCGCTGATCTGGGCCTAACATCTACTTACCCTTGGCCTCCCTGGCCCCACTCTGCAGGCCTGGGTCCCAGCACCCCCAGCGTCATGCTGGGCCCAGGTCTGGCCCCTTCCCAGCAGAGGATATGGGCAGCAGGTCCACCCCAGGAGCCTTCACTCAGCCTTGGTGTTCTGCCAGGTGAGATGGAAGGTGTGCTTATCTTCCCACATATATTTGTTCTTTCTTAGAGAAATTTCTAAGTCATTGCAGGTGTCTTTCCTGCCTGGGAGTGTCCTCGGCCAGGCCTGACTCCCAAGTACAAAGATCCAAACTCACTTTGTTAGTGTGTTCACTGGATGGGGGCTCTGGGAAGTCAGTGTCCAGCCCCTTCATCCTACAAGGAGGGCTGAGGACGTAGCTGTTGGTCAGCCTCCACTTTCCTTCTTTAATTTTAAGAAATGATAGTTTCCCGTCCAGCACGTAAGAAGCCTAGAAGTTGCCAGTTTGTTCTAACAAAAGCTAAACAAATAGAAAAATCAACAACTCTTAGCTCCACAAGAGAAGAGGGATCACGGGGTGCACTGCCGAGACCCCAGATTGGAGAGGCTGACGGGCAGGCAGAGAATCACAGCTCGCAGAGCAGGAACCTCCACAGGACCCTTGCTCTGTAAGTGACGGAGCTCAGTGTAGACAGCTCATTTAAAAACTCCAGGGAGGCCCAGTCCTAAAGGGGCCCCACACTTCTTTGAGTTTTATTTCCTGTTGTCCTGTTAGGTTCTTACAGTAAATTTCAGAGAACAATCCCCGGTGGTGGGTGCGAGGAACCATTTGAAACAGCAGCACTGTGTTCAACTGGATGCTTATACATATACTTACAAGTACTTACGTAGAAGTGAAACTAATGATATAAAGGATGGGAGGGAGGAATTGGGATTATTTTGTTATAAGGCACTCACACTACCCTAGTGTTATTCAAAAGTGAACTTGGATTAGTTGTAAATGTATATTACAAAACCTAGGCAACCACTTAAACCAAGTAAACTTAAACCAGTATAACTGATACGCTAGGAGAAACTGATGAAAAGAGAAAAATTGAGTCACAAAATGCTCGTTGAGACCACAGAAGGCAGAAAAGGAATGGGAGACAAAAATAGAACACAAAAAGCAATGAAGAGAAAATAGTCACAAATATGGTGGAATTTAATGCTACTATGTCAGTATCAACTTGAATGTCAGTGGTCTAAATGCAGTAATTAAAACACGAGATTGTAAGAGTGGATCAAAAAATATGACCCAACTATATGTTGTCTATGAGAAACCCACTTTATATATAAAGACATGTAAGGATTAAAAGTAAATGGATGGCCTGGCTGGCGTGGCTCAGTGGTTGAGCATCGACCTAGGATCCAGGAGATTGCGGTTTGATTCCCAGTCAGGGCACATGCCCAGGTTGTAGGCTCTGTCCCCAGTAGGGGGTGTGCAGGAGGCAGCCGATCAATGACTTTCTCATCATTGATGTTTCTACCTCTTCCTCTCTCTGAAATCAATTTTTTTTTTTAAATTTTCTTCTATAAGTAAATGGGTGGAGGAAAATACACCATGCTGACACTAATCAGGAGAAAGCGGAAGTAGCTAAGTTAATTCCAGACAGAGAAGACTTCAGAGCCAGGAGAGTTACCAGTGATAAAGGGGCATTGCATGAAGATAAAGGGGTCAGTACTCCAAGAAGACATAAGGATCCTTAGTGTATATGCACCTAACCAAAGAGCGTCAAAAGGTAACATGCGATAAAAACAATAATGGCAAGAAGAAATAGATGAATCTAATATTATTTTGAGACTTCAAAACCTGTCTATCAGAAACGATCAGATCCAGCAGCCAGAAAGTCAGTGGAAGCATAACCAAACTCCACAGCACCATCGATTGGCTGGGCGGAATGGACATCTACAGACTCCACCCAACAACAGCGGGACCACATCCTTCTCATGTAAAGGGACAGAACTCATACAGTGTTTGCTCTCAGACAACAATGGAATTAAACTAGAAATCCATAAGAGAAAGAAGGTGGAAAATCCCCAAATATTTGGAGATTAAAATACATCTAAATAAAACATGGGTCAAAGGAGAAATATCAAGAGAAATTTTAAAATCTTTTGAACTAAGTGAAAATGAAAACGCAACTTAAAATTTGTCGGATGCAGCAAAAGCAGTGCTTTGAGGGGAATATGTAGCATTGAATGCAAATGTTAGTAAGAAAGATCTAAAACCAGTCATCTAAGCTTCCACCTTAGGTGAATAAAAAAAGCAAAGCAAATCCAAAGTAAGCAGAAGAAAAAGAAAGAAGAAAAACTAGAGCAGAAATCAATACAGTTGAAATAGGAAAGAGAGAAAAGTCAATTAAACCAAAAGCTGATCCCTTGAAAAGATCAGTAAAATCAATAATCCTCTAGCCAGGTTACCTAAGAAAAAAGAAAGGACACAGATGACTAGCATCAGGGATGGAAGAGGGGACATCACTCCGGACCCTATGGACACTAACCGGAAAATAAGGGAATATTATGAACACCTCTGTGCCCACAAATTTGATGACCAAGGCGAAATGAACTGAATCCTTGAAAGACGCAATTTGCCCGAACTCAAAATGAAATCGACAAAGCGACTAGGCCTGTATCTATTAAACTGAATCAACAGTGAATAACCTTCCAAAGCAGAAAGGACCAGGCCCATGTGGGTTCCCTGGTGAATTCTACCAAATATTTTAGGAGAAATGTGCCAGTTCTCTTCAATCTCCTTCAGAAGGTAGAAGCAAAGGGAACACTTCCTAACTTACCCTGTGAGGCCAGCATCACCCAGATACCAGAACCAGACAATACAAGAGAAGAAAACTACACACCAATATTTTTGTGAACGTTGATGCAAAAATTTTCAACGAAATAAGTCAGACAACATATGGAAAGAATTACACACCGTGACCAAGTGGGATTTGTCTCAGGCATGCAAGGCTGGTTCAACCTTCCAAAGTCAGTAATGTAATGATAATGTCATCCGTCACACCGACAGGGCACAGAAGAAAGACCACATGATCGTCTCAGTAGAGGCAGGGAAAGCATTTGACAAAATCCAACTCTAGGACTAGAGGGCACATCCTCAGCTTGGTAAAGAACATCTATAAAAACCTACAGCTCACGTCACACTCAGGCCTGAGACACTTGATTTCTCTTTGATATCAGGATGTCTGTCACCCCTGCTCTCCAGCACTGTACTGGAAGGCCTAGTTAAAACAATAAAAAAAAGGAAACCAAAGGTATACAGACTGACATGGAAGAAATAAAACTGTCTTTGCAAATGATTATCTTTGTAGAAAATCTCAAAGAGCTGACCAAAAAAATGAGCTGGTCAGCAATTAGAGTGAGGTTAAGGAGAGAGTTACTATACAAAAGCCAATTACTATTTACCAGCTTCAACAATTGAAACTGGAAATAAAAATACTAACACAAGAACCTGCACGTCAATGTTTACAGCAGCTTAACTGCCAAATCTTGGAAGCAATAAGACATCCTTCAGCGGATGACGGGTAACGAAACTGGTCCATCCGGACAGTGGAATATTATTCAGCACTAAAAAGAAATGAGCTGTGAAGCCATGAGAAGACGTGTAGGAACCTTAAGTGCCTATGAGTGAAGGAAGCCATCTGAACAGTCCACACACTTTGATTCCAACTCTGACGTTCTGGAGAAGAAACTGGAGGCCCTAGAAAGACCGGGCCCCCGGGGAGGGATGAGCAGGGGGCGCACAGGGGCGTCAGGGCAGCGAAGCTCCCCTGTGCGACACTGTGATGATGGACACGTGTCGTCTTACGTTCGTCCAAACCCACAGATTGTAGGAACCGATGTAAGCTCTGGGCTCGGGGCGGACGGCCTGTCCGTGTAGGTTCACCGACGGCAACAAACGTCTCAGCTGGTGGGGAGACTGTGCGTGGGGGCGCAGGGGGTGTAGGGGCACCTGCAGCTTCCACTCAGTTTTGCTGTAACCCTAAAACTGCTCTGAAAAGTAGTCTGTTAACAACAGAGGCGGCCGAGGCATCCTGAGCCCCCCCCCCGAACAGCGCTGCCGGGTGCGTGGTAAATGCGCCTGCAGAATACACGGGAACGGAACCGCAGGCCCACGCGTGAGCGTGAGCATGAGCGTGAGCGCGCACGACG